CTTAATGAAACGTTCTTTTTATCTCTGGCAATATTCTTAGACTTACAGTCTTATTATTTCTGGCACTATGCTTTATTAAACTTACTGCTTGTATGCACTGTATATTTCCATTCTTGTATTTTCAGCTTACCTATATACTATGTACAAAGCACATGATTTTGTAGACATTTTGCATCTTGCATTCATTCTGACAAGTCTGTCGCTTGTTGGAGTACATGGTGTATTTATGTACATGTTATTGATAGGTTTGGACTTAGTCTTTGTTTTATTCTATATACTTCATTGTTTTCAGTTATCTGTTTTTTGTTCTTTTCTCCTTTCTTTCCTTTGGGATTATTTTTTAGTTTTTCAATTTCGTTTTTAGTTATATGTTTAGTTACATCTCTTTGCCCTTGGGGGAGGGGATTTGCTTTCCCCGCGGACAGTGTGCATCTTTAGTTTTGCAATAATGTAGTGGTTATTAATGCCTCCTGTTGCTTCTGCTGCTGCTGTCACATAAATGACATCTCTTTACTTTTAAAGTTATAATTTTTTTCTGTAGTTGATCTTCCCCTTTTTGTAGAAATTAAGAGAAGAAAAGAATGTTGTCTTTTATGTTTATTTACATACCTGTACTTCCTAGTTTTCTTAATTTTCCCCCATGATTTAGAGTTTCCATCTGTTGACATTTCCCTTTATCCTGAAGAACTTTTCTTTAGCATTTCTTTGTGCAAAGTCTGCTACAAATCTCTGATGAGAAATTGTCATTCACATCTTTATGCCTCTGCATGTATGAATTTTTCTGGTTTGGCTGCTGTCAAAGTTAAACAAAGCTGGATTTTGGGTAAAGGTGGTAAAAACAGATTTTATTCAGTAAGCATTGTAGTAGGGGGAAGATCTGAGCTCAGTTCCAACTTGCACAGAGGTGACTGGCAGAATGAGGGGAGTAGCAAGAGGGTAATTAATGAGTGGGGTCTCGAACAGAGTCAAGGAAGTAAAAAACTACCCAAAAAGTAGGTAAGAGGCTTGGTCAGTGTCAGTGTGATCAGGCCATCTGTGTCGGCTAACTGGCATTTATCTATCCACAGTTAGGCTTCTACCCTGCCTCAGAGGATAGATGAAGACCCTGTGTTTCCTGATGATTGGTTACATTTCAAAGGAATAGTTTTCAGGTCTTTGAGAAAGACCTTGTGGAAGTCACATATACATCTCAAAGAGACGAGAAGGATTTGCAATTTTAAGCATTTTAAATGGTTGCTCTAAGAAAAGGAGGTCAAGGCCTATGGATGAGTGTTAGCTGGAGCAAATGGTAAATTCTTTTGGCAGTCTTGAGCTTTTCCAGACAGCAACTCAGATGGATCTGGGCCATACCATTGCTAGTAGCCATGCTAGAGTCTGGTCACATCTCTTACTGCAGGGGTTTGGATGGAGTTCTTTGTGCCAAAAATTTTTGTAGTTCTACCAGTTTAAAGATTTTCTTTTCATTTTTTGTTTTTAGCAGTTTGAGAGTGATATGCCCAAGTGTGTTTTTGGAGTGTGTGTGTATGTGTGTGTATAATATATATGTGTGTGTGTGTGTGTGTGTGTGTGTGTGTGTGTGTGTGCCCTTTTTTGGATGTTTAAACTGCTTGGTATTCACTGAGTTTCTTGAAAGTATAAGTTTTTCACTGAAGTTGAAAATGTTTCAGCCATTATAATTTGAAATATTTTCTTGTCTTCCCCTCTTTCTGGCCTTGCACATGTTACTGAGACTGTTCATTTTGTTCTTCAATCTTGTATTTCAGTTCTTCTGATTGGATACTTTCTGTTGATCCATCTGCAAATTCACTTACTCTTCTGTCTTCTCCAACCATTGGGTTAATTTTTAATGTCTGATTTTGTAATTTTCAGTTCTAGAGTTTTCATTTGATTCGTTTTTATAGTTTCCATTATTCAGCTGAGATTCCCATCTGTTTATTAAGTCCATGAACATATTTATAATAGTTACTTTAAAATTCTTGTCTGTTAGTGCTCCTTGGGGGTCTGTTTCTGCTGACTATTTTTTCTTTTGACTAGGGGTAACATTTTCCTATTGCTTTATGTTTAGTTTTTTGTGATTTTTTTTTCAATACTGGATATTTGATTTGGGACCAAACATTGTAGAGACTAAATTCTATTATCTTCCTCTGAAGGGTGTTGATTTTTATTCTAACAGATAGTTTTGGCTGACCTCTAAGGCCAAACTGCCTCTCCAGAAAGCCACAGCTGAAATCTCAGCTTGTTCTTTCAGATTTTGAAGTGCTGGTTTTCAGCAGTCCTCCACAGTCTCCCACATGTATAGTTTAGGGGTCTGGACAGAGTTCATACCCCTATTTAGATTTTTTTTTTTCCCTTTGTGGCTTCCTTCATTATGGGATTTCTCCCTTCTTTTTTCCAGCCTTTCTGGCAGCCCCCAATCCACTCTCTAATTCTGCAGGTCATTAAAACCACTATTTTCTGCTTAAGGTCTCGTTGCCCTGGGTAGCTTACATTGTGGGGTGCCTTTGGATGCAGAGCCACGTAAATGCAGCTCTCATCCAGCGCAGTTCCCCCCTTACAAAGGTTTACTTGCCTTCAGTTAGTATCTGTTTTTGGTCTCCTCCTTTGTTATCGTATAGTTCATTTTATTATATTTTGTTCAGAGGGTATCATTTTTATCCAGAGGAGGTTTTACCTAATTGAGGCTGCTCTGCAGGCCGAACCTCTCTTGTTTTGTTTGTGTATTCTTTTGTTAATTGCACGCTTACTTCCGTTGTTGAGGATTCATAATGTGTTTCAGGATCTGATAGGGCCAGTCTTTTTGTCAGAATTTTCCTGGTTGGTTGGTTATATTTTGGATAATTTTGTCTGGGTCTTAAAATTTTTTAAATTTTTTATTGAGCACATCAAATACATAAATTTGGCCCAACTGATCCTGCTGTGATATTGTGTTCCTCTCTAGGAAGATGTGTTTTCTCTACTCAGTTTACTTTGTGTTCTTTAGTAATAATTAAAATGTTTCTTTGTGTAGTTTTGACACATTTATAATTACATTTATTCTAGATGCTTTGTGTATTTTGTGGTAAATTGATTCTTTAAAAAATTTCTAATATAAACAAGGAAAAATTTTACTAGCTAGAACAAATTTAACATTTTAAAATAAAGCTTCCAGTTTGTGAGAGAGAAAATAATCAATAAAACTGAGGCTTAAATACACCCTACGATGGCAGTTGGAAAGTAGCTGGGTTAGAGTTGGGATCTAGATCTTTCTGCCTCTAGAGGGCCTGTTTTTAACAACTGATTACTATTTATTGTTCTCTGATTTATCTCAAGGCTTGAATAAAGCACAGCTTAAACTCTTTGTGCCCTCGTACATTATGGTTCTCGTGACAGCTCCAGATTTACTTGAGTGAAATGTTCACTTTAATCTCGTAAGAGCCGAATAGCCTCTTTATCTACTCTTGTCAGTCATTTTCCTCAAATCATTTTTAAGGAGAGAAAAGTAAGACCTGTACTGTTCCTTCTGAGGTTTAAATTCAGATTTATGAGATGCCGGAATTTAGTTGATTTTATTGTATTTTAAACTACATGGTGCTGTATGTTTCCAGTAGATATTTGATAAATATCTTAAATAAAAGAACCATTTATGGCATGGTGTTTTAGTCAGTACACCTTCAGGGAAAATAAAAAAGGTGTGAATTATCTTCCAATTTCTTGACTTTTTCTGACTTATTTTTATAGTCTGAGAAATGGAGGTTAGTCTTCTGACACCTAAAAATTAAGAGAATCTGTAAAATATTGCAAAAAGCTGTTGGAAAATGTCTGAAAATGAAATTTTAAAAGCCATCCAGTATTATACTTACTGTAGCCCCCAAAGCGTGGTGTGAAATGTTGCTGGAGCCCAGTGGCTGCGCAGGAGGCCCTGGGGCGCTGAAGCCCGGCAGCCTGCCGGGCAGACCGCACTTCTCACCACGGCCCTTTGAACTGCTGACTGAGTTAGCTCATTAGCAAAGTATACATCTGGAATTTAATCAGTTGTTTAATTTTATTTTCAGAAGTTGTTTGGAAGTGATGCTTTTGTAGTATGTAAGAAATGGAGTTGAGTTTCAGAAATTATCTTTTGCCTCTAAGTTTAAAAGTACAACTTTTGCGACCTGAGACATCTCTGGCAGCCAGAAGTTCCATTCCAGACTGTTTTCTTCCCTTCTCGCATGGATGAGAACTTAACTTTGGAATGAAGTGATGGCAGGGAAAATAGGCCGACTTATATCTGGGCTGCCCATGTCCTGGAAAGAAATGTGGAAGGGAAATTTTGAGGTCTTTCTGGTCTATATCTTCCAGTGTATTGATGAGGAAGACTAGATGTAGCAGCTTTGTCATATTCATACTGTATCTTAAGGATTTAGTGCTTTCACAGGTCTTTAGTCCTCACAGCAATTTCTTAAAACTTTTAAAGTAGTGTGCTACGTTGGAATGACTTCATAATCCATTCTCGTGTCCTTAGAAGTAATAAAAGCAATAATAATTTTCAGTAAAACTGAATATTCAAGTATCTCAAACAAATATTCTGAAAATCTTAACTGTGGTTGTATGTCTATTTTAATTGGAATTTTTCCTATTTTAAAAATACCAGTTGACATCCGTTTTTAGATAAGCTTTTTAAAAAACTGAATTATAAAATGAAGCACTGTTAGTAAGGCTAATGGTGTAAGTATTAGATCTTTTGTTGTGAGTAGAGGAAATTGGAAAAGTCATAGGTATGATTTCATTAAGCTAGAGGGTGTTGGTGTTCACATTTTAAAAACATAATCATAACTTATCTGGAGTCACATGTTCCATTTTATTGGCTTCCTTCATATAGAAAATATAGAAACCAGTACTAAATGCCTGTGAAAAAGTGAAGCAGTGTATATTTTCTGGGTGAAGGAAGTATTCTGTACATTTTCCATGTTTTACATCATGGTAATTTGAATAACCATGCTTCCATGTTCACATCAATTTTTTGTTTTTCAATTTATGCACAGCACTTGCTCTGAAATTTGGGGACTGAGTACACCAAATACGATAGATCAGTGGGATACAACAGGCCTTTACAGCTTCTCTGAACAAACCAGGTGAATATTCTGCCCTCTGTCGAATCCTAGAGATCTTGTGGGAGGGAGGGTGTTTTGGAAGACCTATAGTGGGTTGCTTAGTATATTTTGCCTAGGATGTTTCCTTAATGTAAAATAAGGCATGGCATTTAAAGTAACTGCTTGCCAGTATTAAAAATATATTAAATGTTTCAGCTGATGTTTTCATCGATGAAATTCTAGTTTTGAATCTTCTTTAAATTATTACACCCCCTAAAGAATAGGAGCTTTGATGACTATATTCTCATTTTAGTTTGAGGTTAGATTATAATCTGTTGTTGGCCTAATTTTTAAGTAGCTACATAACCAGTTTTTGCTAAATTTCTTGCTATCATCTAAATCTCATCTTTATACTAATAATTACATAGTTATTTACTGAACCCCTTGTCACAGTTAATGCTAGGCTAACTCTGTTTTATGTTATCTTTTTTTTTAAACCACCTTATTCTCTTTTTTGAGCATATTGGTATTTGTCCATTTCATCTCATCATACTCATCACCATCTGTATTTATGTGTGAGCTACAGAAATATACCTCAGTACTCAAAACAATCACAACTGGGTAATATGTTACATTAGTTTAGTAAGTTACTTTTACATCATTGTTGGATTTATCATTCTTCACACTAGTTCCTTTTTTGATAATTCAGTCACCTGCAGAATTAATGCCCTTACAAGCCTCCCTGAAAAAGAGTTTGATTCACTAAAGATAGAAGTTGAGTTTTTTTTACTTTAACTATATGATACTCTTTAAAAAGTCATTTTCCCCGAATGATTACCCATCCACTGACACTTGGGTCGTTACGTAGCATGTTTGTAAGAGACATACTGTGCTGCTGCTTCCTGTTATATCAGGTCCATTAGATAGTACGTTTTTCTTCCTTGTCCTCACTGAAACTAACTAAGTGTCCGTCATTCCTTTCTTTATGCTCGTATTGTACTAATTTAGCCCAACTGAGTGTTTTATTTTTTTATTGCTTCCCAATAGGTCTCTTGATGGTCGTCTTCAGGTGTCCCATCGGAAAGGACTGCCGCATGTTATATATTGCCGATTGTGGCGCTGGCCTGATCTTCACAGTCATCATGAACTCAAGGCAATTGAAAATTGTGAATATGCTTTTAATCTTAAAAAGGATGAAGTATGTGTAAACCCTTACCACTACCAGAGGGTTGAGACACCAGGTAGGAATATTAGATTTTTTTTCCCTCTTGTTTTAAATTAAATGCTTGAATTTAAGTATGTTAGGTACTCCTATAGCTAATTGACCTAGGGAAATTTTTATGTAAAACTCTAATAAATTACCTTAAATTCATTGTTTCGGGGGTTTTTTTGGTGGTAATTAAAAGTACTTTGAAAGTTTTTACATATATTATGAAAAAAATACATCTTAGAGGAAAAGGTATGTTAGCTTTTTTGGGATAGCGTAGTATTTCACATCAAAGTACATACTAGGAAATTCTAATCTCACACATTCACAGTCTGCTTAGAACTGAATGATACTGCTCATTACCTTTCTGCTGCATAAACTGTTTTCAGTCATTTTGCTCTTTGTATGTTTGTTTTTTGTTTTGATGTACTTTTATGACATCATTTGGATCTAAGCAGTTTGGTAAAACTCATAGCAAGACTTCAAGTTTACTTAGCTTTATACTTGGAGCTTTCTAAAATACGACAGCTGTATTTTCAAAAAATAACCTTAAATCTGATTTTACAAATCTTTCTGCAACCTTTCCAATGGGGATTTATGAACTTCTATGGTAATATGATATTACCAGGATCACTTTGTCCTCAAAAGTACAAGATAAATTGGGGCTTGGAATTTATTCATGGTGTGTTAAAATCATAATGAGGTTTGTCAGTTTCTCAATAACCAAATAATAGTAAATAGGCAGACCTTAAACTTTAAAATTAATCAGGCTTTCTTCATTCTTTGTGAAAGCTTTTAATAAAGGCGTACGCCTCCCTGTTTTGCTCTGCCATTAACTTGGATTTCTTTTGCTCTTTTAGTTTTGCCTCCAGTCTTAGTGCCCCGGCACACTGAGATCTTAACAGAACTGCCACCCCTGGATGATTATACCCACTCCATTCCAGAAAACACTAACTTCCCAGCGGGAATTGAGCCACAGAGTAATTATATCCCAGGTATTTTTGTCTTCTGAATCTCCTAAAACTTGAGATAGATACAAATTTTGTTCATAAACATTCAAGTATGGTTTGACTTAAAAAAAAAAAAGCTTCTGGATTTTGAATACAAAAATCTGATTTATTGTGTGATTATTTTGTGAAATGTATTAGCCTACCACTTTAAATGTTTTTGTCTGGAGGAGGAATGTTTTCCTTTGTATTTCATTTTCTTTTGTGTTAGCTTTAGTTAAAGCACCATGAGCAGCAGAAGAGATCTAGTAAGTTTGTCTTAAGTTGTTAAAGCTGAGATGCAGAATGTAAGCAAAATAAGTAAACAAAATATTTCTGAAACAGGCGTAACTAAAAATCGACCAAATAATCACTTCTGTACCTCGTTTGATAACGTTTAAGAGAAATGTAACATTTCTGTAGAAGGTACAAAATTTTAGTTCTGCAAATACAGCAATACGTATGTTGTACTGAAAAATCAGAAAGCCTCTATTTTAGTTCTTCTTCATCTGAGCCTCAGTAATGCTGAAAAATAAATGCACTCAACTACATTGTTCTCAAATTCTGCTGTTTTATTATGTGTCCAGTGCTATTCCATGATATGGGAGCTACTCTTAGTTTTCACTATTTGTTAGGAGAGCAGCTAATAATTTCTTACTTTTTTGTCTGTTTCCCTGCTTTGATTTTTGGTTTCTTTCGAAGCACAAACTAAAGGTATAATATTAAGATGAGCATTTAGCTACACATTGGATTTTTGTGTCTTTTCTTTTTTTCTCCTTGTGTAGTATTTTTCTGTTCCACTCGTGTTTATTTTATACAACTGAAAATAGGTAAATAACTCAGAGTTTCTAGGATATTAAAAACATTTAATGTGTCTTATCATGGAAATAATGCTTGTTTGTTAGAGATAATTTTGAAAAGATAGGGAAAAGACAGGATTTTTTAAAATAGCTAACTTTAAAGTTTGAAAGTGTTTCTAATTATTTTAATTTTTTTCTTTTATTACTATTTTATTCCAAAAAGCAGATTCAAATCTGTGAGTTGGGGTGGGGGCATATTTAAGTGTGTGATGTGGAAATTAGTATTATTCAACGATTCTGAGGAAACTGAAGTGTAAGCATATGCTCTTGTAAGACAGCCTACCCAAAAATCCCTTGGAAGGCTGTTAGTCAGAGTGTTCAGTGGCTTTCACTTGTGGAGATGTTTGGGCTTCTTTTCCCTCTCATCTTTATTTGTTTGGATTTGGTTATTTTACAGAGCAGAAAAATCGCAAGTGGGTTATTACACCTGTCTGCTTATCTGAACAGTGGGGCTTCAACCCAGCCCCGAGTGACAGCAAAACCTTTGGGTTCATTTTTTATTCCACTGCAAAAGAAATTTTAACATTTCCTCCAAAATGCTAATAGCTTATTTATTATTTTATAGATAAATAATAATGGAGAAAAGTGGAAAAGGATAAAGTTTTTAGAAGTTTGGTGTTTTCTTCCTATTTAGACCTTTGAGATATGGGTGGTTAAACTGGCAAAGCTTAGTAGCTCTTTTTAATTTTATTTACTGTAACCTTTAAAATGGCACATAATGGCATGTTTTATCCTTATTTTTATATTCTTTGTTGTTTGAGTATATGAAGGATTTTTTAAATTAGAACTTCATTATTAAAAATTTGGGGGTACTGACACTTAAATGAAAAGCTTTATACTTAAGTAAAATTTATAGTTAGCTTATTGAAGAGAGGTTGTAAAGAGTTAATGAAGGAGACCTTCAACCCACATCTTCTCTCTCCTCTCCTGATAATTACAAAATTCTTTTAGGTATATATATCCACATTGCTTAAAACTGTACAGCAATGTAAAATGTTAAGACTATTGATAATCATTTAAACTTATTTTTTCTCCTTGAAATTATAATTGGTAGAATTGTATAAATGTTTTTATTTTGCATAAATCTTATTCAGATATTCATATCCCTCCTGAATATAAACATTTTGTTCACAAACCATATTGGAAATCATACATTAGAATCTTACATCTTTTCAGGAAGTAGTTTGCCTCAGTTTTGTGTAGTTGTCAGTATTTGAATTTAATTTTCTGCCTCAAGCACTCAGGATTTACTGGTTAGAAATCCCTGGAGCAACACACTTTTTAAAGTAAAATTCAAACTGGACCAATCCTGAATTACATTACCATATTTTGCCCTGTAGAACCTCGTATAAGATGTAATGCTGTATTACTTCGTTATCTGAAATCTTGTGTGCGTGTGGTGTGTGTCCTTTAATTATCTCTAAGTACCCATCCATGATGGCCATTAGTTTAAAAAAAAAACTGTCGGTATTAATTTCTTTGAAGCATACTGATTCAGAACTGAGGCATCTTTGAACTTACATTCTTGGCTCTTGCCCCAGGTAATATACATATAAGAATGAGCCAGATATGTAAATAATAGCTATGAAGATATGCCCAGAGAGCTCAGTTGCATTAAAAGTAGGTTTTAAGGATTCACCTGTAAGGTTTGGATCAGAACCTGAATCATAAACCCTCAGTGTCCAATACTGTGTTTTATAATAATGTTATATAACGTTTATATGTGTTACTTGGGATGGTTTGTTGGTTATCTTTGGCACCTGGGAGAACAGGCAATGAGATTAAACTGAAGCTGTGCTTGATTTGCTCTAAACTTCTCTAGAAACGCCACCTCCCGGGTATATCAGTGAAGATGGAGAAACAAGCGATCAACAGTTGAACCAAAGTATGGATACAGGTAAAAAAAAAAAAACTCTCAAAATTTCTCAGTAATTAGATACACATTTTTGCATTGTTTGTAAGATTTGTAACCCTTACATTTAGAGAAGTTGGGACACATATCAAAAAAAAGAATCTTTTATCTTGATTTAGTCATATTTGAACCATCAAAGGGAGGACCCTGTTGTCAGTGAAAGATTAACATGCTACTTTGCAGAGTAAGTTTTCTCTTATTAAAGTAAATAAAAATTAGAGAACACTCAGTACTTTCTAAGTATTCTTTGCTTCTGTTTAAAGTTTTATGAATACATGTCTGTGAATAAGTGTCTTTGTGATAAAGCTAATTAGCCCAGTAACATTTTCAGAGGAGTTTGGAGATAAGAGATGGGGATCAACTTTTTCATGCTCCTTTAACTCAGAAGTGAGTTGTGAACTATGGTAGATTGTTTACAGGGAATACCTTGCATATGGTACCTGACCTAATACATTTCTAATATTTAGCTTCAAGTTCAAACACAATGAAGAAAAATTTTAACATGTAATAAATATTACACACATCAAAGCTTTAAAACAGTTGTTATGTAATAAAATGTATATAATTCATAGGAACTGGTAGGTTCCAGTGAAATAGCTGTGATGACATTGTAGTTATCTGATCTGTTTCACCCTCGTTGTATCTTAGGGATTGGACACTTTAACATCACAAACTGACAAATTAGAGCATCCGCTTTTCTAAACAGTTTATACTAAAGCATCCTATAGTTATGATAATCTAAGTTATTTTTTAAATGCTGGGGTGGTGGTTGCCTTTACAATAATTCTGTTGTTTGAATTCTTTCATTGTTTAGACTCCAGGTAAAGAAGCTTCTGCTATAGCTAATCATACTTACAGTTTCTCAGAATAGTAGATAACCAAGAAAAGTAGATAATGATCATTGCAAATAAAATGCACATCTTAATGCAGATGTCTTACTGCAAATGATACTTGGCTTTCCAAATAGATCTTCCTAACATGCTTGTATGTCAAGAACTGTGTTCCTGAATCAACCCATGTTCCTTTTTGACCCGTGATGGATAGTTGCTACTGTGACGCTTCAAAGTGAATGTCATGAAAGTATGCCCTGATGACATCATTAGTCATCAGAGAAATGCAGATCAAACCCATAATGACATACCACTTCACACCCTCTAGAACGGCTGTAATTAAAAAAGGACAATAACTACTGTTGATGAGGATTAGGAGAAGCTGGAATCTTTATATATTGCTAGTAGAATGTAAAATGGTTCAGTTGCCTTGGAAAATTTTGCTGTTCCTCACAGTTGAATATAGAACAACAATATGACCCAGCAATTTTACTTCTAGGTATATACCCAAGAAAATTGACAGGATGTCCACACTAAACTTGTACACAAATATTCATGTAAGCATTATTCATAGGGGTCCAAAAGTGGAAACAGCCCAATTGTCCGTCAGTTCATTAATGGATAAATTAAATAAGTTATATCCACACGTTGGAATATTACTCAGCCACATAAATGTACAAAGTACTGATGCATGCTACAACACGGATGAACCTAGACGGCATTATATTAGGTGAGAGAGGCCGGGCGCACACGGCCCTAAGGATTCCAGTTAATGTATAAATGCCTTTTTGATAATATAGCTGAAGCATGGGAGGAGCAGTAAGATGAATATAATCACTGGTTATGGTAATGGGTCAAGATCCAAAAGGGGAGAATAAGCTGAGTCAGCTGAAATGAATTCCATGTTCTGGAGCTAGCTTTGTACCTAATATTTCTAATTCTGTTTCAGTGGGGAAATGGTACTGTCTTTTTCAAAATGACACATTTAAAACACTATAATGACAATGACAGTGTGAATATTTGATTTATAAGATACTAAAAGTTGGTTTAAATACCAGTCTTCTACCCGCTATCTAATTAGTTCTCTTAGTGCCATGGCAAGAGTTTTCTGACTGATGCAGGGTCCCTGTTTAGAACAAAATTGATCTCTCTTTAAACTCTGGTGCATACCTTCCCAGAGGGAAGGACATAATTCAATTAATGTGTCAATCCCTGCTGGGATAGAAGGAGTTAATTTTTTTTTTAAGGGTAACCAGAGGCCAGATAAAGCAGAATAAAGAACTATGTGAACAAGTACCTGTTATTTTTTGCTTTGCCTTTTCTTTTTTTTAAATAAATTTTCTGATGAAGACTTTATTCTTTAAAGTTTGGGGATATCAGCAATCAGGGTGGACATAACAAGAAATCGATTTGATTTAGTTCTAAGTTTTCGTCTTGCAAGCCAGTCATTTTGTGTACCCCTAGACAAGGGTTACAAGCCCCACTTAGGAGATGGCTACTCTAACCAAATGTGTGCCATCAGGAGAGCATGGTCGGACTCTGAGCCAGACTACCTGAGTTTGAATTGTCTGTCTACCATGTATAAGCTAGATGACCTAGGCACATCTCTAAATTAGGGGTAATTATAGTATCCTAACTCATAGGGTTGTTAACAGAGTCAATTTTTGTAAAGCAGTTAAATGTTCTTAACTCATAGCAAATACTGTATGAGTGTATTTAAAGAAAATATAAAAAGATGGATTAACCATTAAGAAAAAGGAAGAAGGTTGATTGCGCAAAGATTAGAAATAAGTTGAGGGATTGAGATCCAGAAGCAGAAGCGGTTCATCTTCATGGTTAGGATTTCCTCAATAAAATAGGGAAGTGAGGATATTTGTCAAGAATAAAGTGTCAGGTTTGAGAACTTTAGGGTAGTGATCATATTGGCTATGTCTTCTCTGCATTGTTTTTCAGTTTTTAGCATAGACACACAGCGTATCTGTCATTAGGTGCATTCTTCACTGTTTTAACATTTTTAGTGCTGTGATAAATGTTATTTTCAATTTTATTTTCAATTCTTCCTAGGATGTAGAATAAAATTTGATTTTTGTATATTGATCCTTTTCCCTGCAACTTTGCTAAAGTCACTTTTTGTAATATAGTATTCTGTAGATTACTGAGATTTTCTGTATACCTTGTCATCTCTCAAACAAAGACGGTTTTACGTCTTGTTTTTTTAATCTTTATGCTTTCTATTTTTTTCTATTCTGGCTAAGATTTCCAGTAAACTATTGAATGGAAATATTAAGAATAAGGTGGGAGGGTAAGCTCAGTAGTAGAATGCGTGCTTAGCATGCACAAGGTCCTGGGTTCAATCCCCAGTCCCTCTATTAAAATAAATAAACAAACCAACCAACCTAATTACTCCCCACCCCACAAGAAAATTTTTAAAAAACCAAAGAAATACCAAGAATGGACATTTTTGTATTGTTTTTGATACAGAGGAAACACATTTAATAATTCCCTGCCATAAGTAAGATGTTAATTATAGATTTTTAATAGATTCTCTTTATGAGACTGAAGATGATCCTTTCTGTTCCTTGTGCTCTGAATGTTTTTAATGAATGGCTGTGGAATTTTACTGCATCTGTTAAGAGGATCACACAATTTTACTCCTTTTTGAAGTGAATTCCGCTAAGTGATTTTTCTGATAACAGACCCACTTTGACTTTATTCGGTTATGATAACTAACACTTTTAAAATATTTATGGGTTTGATTTGCTAATGTTTTTAAAGTATTTTTATCTCTATGTTTATGAGAGATTTTGGTCTTTAGTTTTCTTGTCATGTTTTTCTGTAGCTTCAATGTCATAGTAATCGTGGGCTCAAAATACACTGGAAGAGGTTTTCTACTGTTTTCTACTGTGACTCTGCTGGTTGCTTCTAATAAGTATTTAATGGAGTAAACAGTTTAAAAGATATGAAAAATTGGGCAGTTTCCTCCATTTCTAATAGTGGCTTTGTTTATTTTATCTCAGCTTCAGGAAACAGCAGTGAGTTTTAGTTCATTGTTCTAAATATATTTTGACCTTTCTGAGTTGTACCTGCTGTGACTTGCCAACAGATTTTTCAAACTGAGGAACGAAAAAAGAACATAAGAACTTTGTTATGAAAGGCTGTTGTTTACCAGCTTATTATCACCTTTTCTCTATTTTTGATTCATTTGTTTATCTGGGGGTTGCCATTTCACCTGTGTTGCCTGGTGTTTTATGTCATGGTTATAGCAGTGTGGAGAGGGGAGAGATGCACACGGGCATCTGATCTGTCTTACTCTGCATCTGTGTTAGAGTGGTATTACTGTGTGCTGAAAGCGTGGGAGCTGTAGGTCATGCTCTTCTAGATAACATTCCCAAAATATGTGGAGAATGATGATGAGAAAACAAAATTTATCCTACGATTACATAATGATTATTTAACAGCAGTTTACAACAAATATGTTTTAAAATTTAGTTGCATGGAGTTGAGTGAAGTAATCTCATTCTTTTTTTCTTGTGTCTGTGTTTCTTCCTTCTTTCTCTAATTTTATGTGTTTGTGCCCCTCCTTATTTGCTTGATTAAATTTAGCCACTTTACCTAAAACTGACAGAAATGAATAATTTTCTAAGAAAATATAATTTGCTGAAACTGACTCCGGAAAATAGAGCTATCTTAACAGTTAACTTTCATAGAAGGAATAGGGAACTATCTTGGAGTAAACTCTAGAAAATTATTGACTGCAGACGATTTCACACAGGAATTCTAGCAAACTATTAAAGAACATGTTATTCCAATGCTGTTTAAACTGTTACAGGGAAGATGTAAAGCTTCCAGCTTGTCTTTATAACATTGCACTTGCAGTGTGCATCTACAGACTAGTATTGCTTGAGATTATTGATGCAGAATTCCTAAATAATTTTATCTTTCTCATCCTCAAAGCAAGCCTCATACTTAATGAACATATACTAGAAGTATTCCCTTAAAGTTAGGAATAAGACAGGAATTTCCACTGTCACCGCTATTTTATCAAAATATGACATACCCAAAATGATTGATAAATTAAATCACATTTAAGTTTTTTTTAATACTGCTTAATCAAAATTAGGATGAAGCCAGATGACCGAATACTTGTGTCCCATATCATGAAAGGACTAATTATTGCTAAAATACAGAGACCTTTCTATAAGTCAGTGAAAAAAGTGATCAACACCACAATAGAAAATTGAGCAAAGGTAAAGAACAGACTATTCATAGAAAGGAAATAAAATTGAAACAAGTGTAAAGCTACTCACTGTCATTTATAAGAGAGATACAAATTAAAACTATACTTGTTAAGACCTCATTCTCAGTTATCAAAACTAACATACGAGCCTGCCCTCACTGTTTGTGTTGTTACTGGGAATGTAAACTGTAAACTTCTATAGAGGGCAGTTTTGGAAAATCACACGTGGACAGCCCTTTGATCTGGCAGTTTCTTTTAGAGTCTCTCCTGGTAAGATTGAGAGTATGCAAAATGTGCAAGATTAGGCATTAGAATCTTGGTTCCTAAAGCAAAAAATTGAAAATAACCTGAATATCCATTAATATGGGATCATAATAGACCATAATGTAATGCTATGCAGCTAATAGATAAATGGATGAATTGGTGGATAAATAGATTGATAAGTAAATAAGGAGACACAACATCTCTGATAGAAGAAGTAATATAAAAGCACAGTTTAGAAGTGTATTGCCACTTGTATATAGGAAGTCGGAGGCACAGAACACAGTAATACTTGCTTGTGTGGTTCCTAGAATATTTCTGGAAAGGTACACAAAGAACTGGCAACACCGGATGCCTTTGGGACAGGGTAGCTAGAAGCCAGGACTCTCTTGTGTCTTTTATATACTGACGCTTCCAAAATTAAACTTCCATAAAGCAGTTATGCATGTTGAATTCTTGGCATGTAAATTATCTATGTATTATTTGTGATCATTGATTACAACCAGATGCAATCAATTTTATTACTATTTGGGGTCAGAAGTTCTAGAAATACTTCCATGGCTATTTTAAAATTGAATCCTTTTGTTTCAGGATCTCCAGCAGAACTGTCTCCTACTACTCTTTCCCCTGTTAATCATAGTTTGGGTAAGTTGCAGATACTTTTCCCTACTGTCTTTATATTATATTACTTATTTAATTAAGTGTCTTTTCTTGTAGTTATTTTCCATATCTATGAGAAAGAGATCTCAGTGAATAATCCAATGATTGTTCAAATTAGTGCTTTTTTGACACTGATGATGCGCCTCAGTATTACTAAAGCTCTTTTCTCCTGGCACATATGAATGTAGAAATTAATCATTTTATTCATGGAAAATTTATGTCCTATATGGCTAGATTTTTAAGGTTATGTTTATTTTATGATACACTTAAAAATAGTAATTGCAATTATTAATTGCTATAATAACAATTATTACTATGAAGTGTGTGTATAAATATATACATGTATATATCATTATCATAAATATGTGCATGTGGTGTGGGAGATATGTATATGTGTGTGTGTGTGTGTGTGTGTACACTTGTGTCTATACCTTCTGTAGTTTATTCTTGGCCTTTATTTTAACCTGCTATTTCACAGTTTCTCTTCAGTTTCTACACATTCAGAATTTATACAGAATTGTCATTTTTTTCATGATATTCCTTATAATGCATTTTAATCAAAATTACAGAACTTAAATACATGTGATCCTCATTTTCCTCTGGAATATGTGGATTCTTTTGATTAATATTATGTTTCTACTTGCATACTATATGTTTTATTACTTTGTTTCTTGTGTATGTGTTTTTTTTTCTGTTTTTGTAACTAGGTTAGCTCAGTGAGAATCTCATGTTAAAACAGACAAATATCAAAAATATGTTAATTTTGTATCCTATTATGCAGAATCTTTTTTCTTGTGGCTTTTGACTCGTTAATCCTTGCATCAACTTTATTCCACTTTATCCTGCCCCAAGTTACCTTTATAATGCAAACTGATTGACTTTACCTGTGGTGCAACTGAGGGAAAACTGTTAGTAGAACAGGTGATCCACCGTAAAGGCTAAAAAAGATGTTGGGAGGTTTGGATGACTTAACGAGATGGGGGAAATTTGAGAAATTGGAAATCTGGTATGATCTTTGGAATCTGGAGCTGGTGATGTAGATGTGAAGTCTGTTTCCTGGGCTGTTGCCAGTGTTGCCTGGCACAGAACATGTAAAGATGACGATATTCAATCTATTCTTGGCTTGGCTTGCATTGTTCACACAACATTTCTTACTTTTATGGGTTTGGTTTTTTTCCCCTCCCAGATTTGCAGCCAGTTACTTACTCAGAACCTGCATTTTGGTGTTCAATAGCATATTATGAATTAAACCAGAGGGTTGGAGAGACCTTCCATGCATCACAGCCCTCACTCACTGTAGACGGTTTCACAGATCCATCAAATTCAGAGAGGTTCTGCCTAGGTTTACTCTCCAATGTCAACAGAAATGCTACAGTAGAAATGACAAGAAGACATATAGGTATGTTTTTTTTTTCCTTGTGTGAAAAACCAATGACATATACTCATAATGTGAGCACTTTGTGGTTTACCACATCAAGAGATTGTGTACAAAAAAGCCTGCCTTCTCTCTGTCAGCTTAAGTGCAGTCACGTTTAAGTGCACAGCTCCGCAGCTTTTAATAGATCCTGGTGATCCTTCCATCTGCAGACTTTCATCTTTGGCTTCTCTTTATCTGGCACCGTCAGTACTGGGAAGTCCTTCAATAAATACATGTTGAAATAACTTTACTTTGCTGAGTCTCTACCAGTCATAAAATTGTCATGTTCAGATGTTAGGGTTGTAATTTTAACAAGTCATGAATTTTTCTTCAATTTGTTTATATCTCCTAGTTTTTCCCTCCTTTCAGTGACTTCATATACTACATCAAATCTGCACATCATAAATCTGAGGCAAGATCTCTAAAACAAAGATCTACCATTTAATATAGTTCAAAAATAATTCAGAGGATCCCAAAATATGGTGGTCCCAGACACCCTTTGAGCAGGTTTGTGAGATGAAAGCTATTTCCTACTGTTACTAAGGTGCCGTTGGCCATTTTCACTCTCGTTCTCATGACTGCAGGGAAGTGTTCCAGAGGCTACAAGGCTTACAGTTTTGCAAGCAATTAAATGTAGACTCTGAACAGAATTCTGCTCTCTTCTATTAAGCCAAACATGAAGGAGATTTGCAAAAATTATAAAACATTGCTACTCTTCTCACTAATTCTTTTCTTGCTTTGGAAAATGGTTATTTTTCATGAAGTTATTTATGTTAATGTATAGTGGGGTATTATTTTTAGTTGCAAATGAATTAATTTTTTTTGAATCTCAGTTTTACGTGTAATATGGTAAGTTTCCATAGATGTAATCCATATAAACAACAACTCTTTGGAATCTTGAGGATTTTTTTGACAAGGAGGTAAAAAAAATTAGTTTGAGTGCCACTAGTATACCTGGACATAGTTCTCATCACCTTAAAGTAACTTTTTAATAATAGTTTGCTTCTGTTTCCATTTAATTAACCATCATCTCCTATGAGAGATCATGCTGATCACTGAGTGAGGGTGTTATTGCAAAGTATTGGTGACTTCAGAAATCTGTTGGCTTTGCGTGGAATTTCTCAAATCTTGCTTGACGTGTAAATGTTATATTATCTTGTTAAGGTATTCAGGTGTCTTGTAGGTGAGAGAGGCCTCTGAATATCCATCCCATTTTAACTAAAGTAGTTCTGATTTTTCTGTGTTTTAATTAGGGTTCTGCATAAAAATTTAACAGAAAGTTTACCCTTCCTTATTTACTTCTACAAAATTTTAGATTGCTGTAATTATTGCATCATTTTTCTTCTGATTTCTGGTTTATTGGGTGATTTTGATCAGAGAATATAGCCTGAAAAATCTCTACTTTTTGGACTTAACGTTTTCCGAATGGTGACGTGTATGACTCTTTTTTAAAATAAATATTCTGAAGTCATAAGAGAACAGGGCGCCAGGTACTATATTTATTTATGTATTAAATCTGTCTTGTTGGTTGTTCTATTAATTTTCTTTTGCTGTGTAGTATATTACCACACACTTACCAGCCAGAAACCGCACAAATTTATTGTCACAGTGTCTGTGGGTTAGGAGTCTCCTCAGGGCCTCACAAGAGGAGGTCAGGGTGTCAGCTGGGCTGTGTTCTCATCTGGGGCTTGAGGTCCTCTTCCAAGCTCACAGGTGATTGCAGAGTTCACTTCTTTGAAGTTGTAGCACTGAGATCCTCATTTCCTGCAGACTGTCAGCTGAGGCTGCTTTCAGTGACTAGAAGCCTCCTGCATTCCTTGCCACATGGCCCCCTCCATCTTCACAGTCAGCAGTGGAGATGCTGTTGTGTGGAATTCCTCTCATTCAGCACTCTGAATCACTTTTACCAGAGCCGGCCCCATCCTTTTTAAGGCCTGTCACTTAAGTCAGACCCACCAAAGATTGTCTTTGTAGCTTGCAATCAGTTGATTTGAGACCTTAATTACACCTGAAAAGTCTGTTTTAGTATTTGATTGAATAATTGAGAAGATGTTTGCACACCATGGGTGAGAATCTTAGGTGCTGTCTTAGAATTCTGCTTTTCACAATTTTTAAAAAATTTTTTATCTCTTAATATTTTATGTATAATTTATCTGTCAAATTTTTATGTCTCTAATATTTTACATATAACTTACCTGTCAAAGAGGTATATTAAAATACCCCAATATAATTTTTTCTTAATTCTGTTTGTATAAATAGGGATCTGGTAGCCACCATAATATATTGTGTTAAAGGGGGAAAATGACTAACCTTTTGATAATTTTTATTACCTTTTTTCTTAACTTCAGTGGGATCTTTTAGGAAATACTGTTTATGATAATGAAGGCATATTTATTCAAATATTAGTTAACTTCTGATTAACTCAATTTCTTTTACTTATTTAAAAATAATGTGTAATTTGTATGAAATTCTTTATCTTGCTATCCATGCACTTTTCTACATTAAGTACTTTTAATGAGCATATATTATCTTTACAAATCAATGAAGCCATTGTTAAAAAAATACTTGGAAAAATATATAGTGTGGTATGTTTCGAGGTTAGATTTCAGAAAAGCATAGCTATGGACTATAGGAAAGGTCATCAAAACGCTTTGTATCATTTTTGTATTCCTCTAGGAAGATTTCTTCCATAGTCATGCTAAAATAGTAAATGTTGTGAAACTAATCCCGTACGTATTTTGTTTTAGGAAGAGGAGTGCGCTTATATTACATAGGTGGGGAAGTTTTTGCTGAGTGCCTAAGTGACAGTGCAATCTTTGTGCAGAGCCCCAATTGTAATCAGAGATACGGCTGGCACCCTGCAACAGTGTGCAAAATTCCTCCAGGTATGGATACAGCAACGTAAATAAACTTCTCTCAACCGGCTGAGTTTTTCTAGTTGCTATTAACTAGGAATTAGATCGTATTCTGTTATCTGTAGCCCTTTTATATTATAGTGATTTTCTTTTTCACACAATTTTGTTTTACTCTTTTCAATCATAGGCTGCAATTTGAAGATCTTCAACAACCAGGAATTTGCTGCTCTTCTGGCTCAGTCTGTTAATCAGGGTTTTGAAGCCGTGTATCAGCTAACTAGAATGTGCACCATAAGAATGAGTTTTGTGAAAGGGTGGGGAGCAGAATACCGGTATGAAATAACATATTCAGTTCTTAAATTTCCACAGTGTAATTGTTTTTTCTCCATTCTTTTTGTCCTCTGGGGTTCACATACATTTCTTTTCATCGAGGTTTACAGAGTCAGCAGATCTTTATGTAGAATAACAAAAGAAAGCGGGTGGCCTCTAGATTCAAAACTGTTGCAAAGTCCTGTGCTGGCATTATAGACATAGACCTAAAACGTGTACGGACAAGCACTGTAACAGAATGCAGTGTTAAATACCATAAATGGCGCACCTGAAGGGTTAGGTCAGTTCATGGAAGGAGAGATGGTTCACTGGGGCTGGGGGAGGTAGAGACAGCACAGGATCTAGCTTCTGAAGGATGCATGGGATTTCAGTACTCATAGGTTTGAGGGGCTGGGAAATGATGATGCTGGCAATAGAATGCTGTTCGGTTTGACAGTATGAAAAATAAAGAATAAGGCTGGACAAATAAGTTGAGACAACTTATTTGTATAATGTTAAAAGGTAGAACTTTATTCAATAATAGAAGGGGATACTTGTTAAGTGAAGGGGTTACTGTGCTGTGTTTTAAGTGCAGTATCTCATACCTTTCAACATGGCTAAGAATTACTGTTTCTGTTTTTATCCTTTCTTTATAAGGTTGCAATCTCTGTAGGTAAAAAATGGTCCAAACTAATACTTACTTGGAAATCGGCTCAAAAAGATTTGATAATTTGCCCAAGGACACATCCTAAGTGGTAGAGACAGGACTTGAGGAAAGCTCTCCTTGACTCTTAGCCTCTTCTCTAAGGATAGTAGTAGCAGTTACATAGTTGAGTTTTACAAAACCTGATCTGTCATCAGGGGATAAGATAGATTAGGTTATTGCTAAATTAAACGATTGGATTCCACATCAAAGAAAGGGAAGATTTCATCAGCATATTGCAGAATGGAAGTATAAGTAAAATACAAAATCTTTCTCTAATTCATATTACTTACTCTCTGAATGCCTGCTTAAGAAGATACGCACATAGTAACAGTATTCCTGTTTCATCCAGCAGTTTGGGCCCTTCTTCAGAATTTATTTCATTTCATTTGAATTTGACTCCCTGTCTTAAACCAGGTTTGTGAGGTATATGACTTTTGAGATGGTGAGACTTGAGATCTGCTGGTTAAATACTTTTATAAAAGTATATTATGTGTTACATACTTACATCCTAGAATGAAGACTATTGTCACTATTTTGCCCAAGTTACATTAGTAGAAGAATTCATTTTTTGACTTTGCTATAGTTCTCTTTTGTTTTAATCATTTCCCTTTTGAGATGTGATAACTTTAAAGAATGCTGAGTTTCTTTCTTCCTTTGGACTTGAGTTGATATTAAAATTAGATTCAAATAGTACTATCTGATAACAGTTTATTAGGTCAGACTTTTTTTTTCCTTCAAAAGATTCGAATGTTGCGGAACATGGTAGAAATTCAGTGAAATTAAATGTGAACTGCATAGGTCAGAATTCCATGTGTATCTATGGGTCTCTTGTTAAGACCAGTTTTTATTGGCAGAGAGAGATACTGCCCTTTATTTTTATTCACTGTGAACTCTGCTGTTCTTTAACCCAAAGATAATTTAAAATCTATAATTATGAGAGACAGTAATATACAGTATGTTTTCATGGGTAATGGGGTCAGGTACAGCTACTTTGGATAACAGAGTAGTTTCCTTTAACATTTATAGATCAGGATAACTCAGATACCCGTATATCTGTGAACTATGGAACCTTTATCCTTAATGACACTGGAGCTGAGGAGGTAGGTCTGATGGTTGGGTTCTAAAACTATTATTCAGTTTCTTTAGTGCCACCTGGATTGTCAGCATAAAAATCAGGAAATGTAGTAAGCAGGAAATAATAGATGTATAAAGAATTCATAGTTAATTGAGAAATATGTCTCAGTTACGTAAACTAGTACTGAAATGAGTAAACGGGTAGGGGGGCAGATCATGTGTGTCTCAGAACCTGAGACAAGGGTTCGCATGCAGGGGGTTTATTTCAGAAATAGAGGGAATGCTAGTAAGGAAGGAGGAAGTAGGCATGGGAGGTAGGGGAGGGAAGGCAGCCAGTACCATTCTTAAGCCATCACGATAGTGGGTGGGTCACTAGAGCTATTCCCTTAGGAAAACAGTAAAGAACACACTGAACTATCCCGCCCAGAGGAAAAGGAAACCTAGCATTTAAATGCCAATTCCTGTGTCATTGGTTGAAGGCTGTTCCTAGGGATGTTAATTTCCTGGCACTGTTAGTCTGCTATGTATGCGGACAGAACAGAGAAGTTCTCAGGCACAGAAATGCAGATACCTACAGTTGGGGGTTGGCTAGAGAACACTTAAAAATCTGAAGAGTATAGTGGGGCCCGACACCTTCTGCTACTGAAAGTTATATTGAGTTTTAAATTATATTGAGCATGTGTCACTTGAAAGTGGACGGTTGCTGTTGGCCTTTTCTCATCTTTGAAATGCTGTCATGTTGAAGAAACAAGCAAGAAACAAGACTTACTGGCTTACTGTATATAATAAATAAGACAAAACTAAAATCAGTATGTAGAAGTGACAGGATGTCCTTGAACAGCTTGTGATTCCCAGAGGGTAGCTCATTTTGTTGACGTACTGGAGGTGTCTCCTATTAAAACCCTGCGTGGTGCTGCTAAAAGGGGTGTTGTTTGTTGGTTGTGCCAGGGAAAGTTGAGCTCCAGCTCTTCACATTCTGTGATACATTTGAGTCAGGGTTCTGTTTTGTTTTGATATACTTTAAATTTGAACCGTGTTCCATTTAGACCTCATTTGCTATTTGTCGCTCTTCTGTTCTGTGGATGATGAGTAAGTGGGGTGACTTTATATAATCCGGATAGTGCTGGTTTATGTCTTTTGCGCTGGCAGTGATTATAGTGACTACATTCTCTCTTAAAGGTGTTCCATTTTGGATTGTAAATAATGTTACCAGACTAATTTTAATTTGAGGGGGAAAGAATGTTTTTAAAAATCTCTTTAAAAGAAAATAATTAATCAGAAGTACTTTGTTAGACTTTGAGGATTGAACAGTTTTCAGAATAACAGATATCTGAATTTGGTACTTGTTCAGAAGGTTCTAGGTTTTAGTATCTACAGCTTTTTATCTGAATTTCTTACATAGTCTTGTTATTCTTTTAACTTTATGATTATTTTCTTGCATTCTTTTAAACAGAAGGCAGACGGTAACAAGTACTCCTTGCTGGATTGAACTTCATCTGAATGGACCTCTACAATGGTTGGACAAAGTATTAACTCAGATGGGCTCCCCTTCAGTGCGTTGCTCAAGCATGTCGTAAGGCCTCGTCACCGATCAAGTCCCATCGAAAGACTCAATGTACCAACTCTTCTGTCGTAGTGTTTGTGTGTGGTCCCCATGGACTGTTTACTATCCAAAAATTCAAGACAGAAAACAGCACTTGAGGTCTCATCAATTAAAGCACCTTGTGGAATCAGTTTCCTATGTTCGAATATTAGATGGGAAAATTAGTGTCTAGAAGTATCCTCCCATGAAGGAGGAAGAGAAGATTTTAAAGACTTGCTGATGTCTTGTTGGGCATAAAACCGAGTGTCCCAAAGGTTAATTAATAACAGCAGTAGTTATGTGTACAGGTAATGTATCATGACCCAGTATCAGTGTTGTGCTGTTTATATACATTTTTAGTTTGCATAAGTTAGGTGTGTGCGTGCTGCTTCTTGACTTAGGCAAGCCTTTATAAAGTTACAGTACCTAATCTGTTATTCCCACTTCTTCGTTATTTTTGTGTGTCATTTTTTAATATATAATATATATCAAGATTTTCAAATTATCATTTAGAAGCAGATTTCCCTTGTAGAAAAACTACTTTTTCTGCCTTTTACCAAAAATAAACTGTTGGGGGAAGAAAAGTGGATTAACGTTCGAAATCGTTGACCTTCATGTGTTCAGTGGGTCTTAAATATTCATTCTTTTTGTGTTTGTTTACTTATGCTAAATCTGATTATAGGGAAACCTTGTGGAAAATCTTTCCAAACCTCTTCTCCTTTTCCACTTTTGTCCTGATACCAAAACAGCGTAGCCTGACATCCAGCACCAATAATGGGTGCACTGATACTGCCGGCGCCAGTAATTCTGGGGTGCAGGGAGGATTCACATGGACTGAGTCCCTTTGTCTTACACCAGATTTCAGTTTCAACAGATAATAGACTTGTGTAACCTAGCAGCCTTTTGATTTATCTCTGCACCTCATACAGAATGCACAGGTGGCAGTATAATTATTTTCAGGGATAAACTACAATTATTTCAATACGTTTATCCCGTTTAAAAACTCAATCTATAGATATAGAAAGCTCTTTTAAAAGATACTTTAAAATATTTCAGTAGCAGACCTAGTGCTCTTTGGGTTGAGTTTCATTGGATTTAGTTTTACCAGATTGTATTATGAAATGGACCTTTTGTAAATGTAATTGCTTCTGCAGAATATCTAGAAAAAGTACTGCTGAGGTCTGATCAGCAGACAAAAGGCCATCTGTTTTTAAGGTATGTTGTATTAAATTTATAAAATCTGTTTATTTTACGTAATTATGAATTTCAAATTTTAAAAACTGGGGGAGAAACAGTTAGGCAAGTTTTTTATAATTATAATTAATTATGATTACCTACAGTCTGAGTCATTCTTAACTACTCCGAATATGTGGTGACTGTTAGAACCACTCATGCTTTACACCCTGCAGTGACAGGAGATTTCAGAATCTCTGTTAGAAGTCCGTTCTGCAGCAGATAATCCGTATGTCTGTTGTTAACTCATTGCAGTTTAAACATTTCTTGTTTGCATCTCAATAGAAATGGAAAATAACCACTCCTGGTTCCCTTCTAGTAAGTTTTCTTATTTTTGAAGACAGATTATCTTTGGTACTTGTTTTTTGAAGACATACTCACCTGTCTCTACAGGTGTTATTTTGAATACTTTCAGCATTTGGTTTTCTATTAGATATTCCCCGTTTCCCTGTATTTGTGTGTGCATATATGTGTTCATGTAAACTTGATGCAGTAATTTTTTATTCATTCAGCAAATATTTATTGTTCACCTGTTATGTGTGCCAGGCAGTTTCTTGGCCTTTGGGTGAAGGTGAGTAAGACGGATATGATCCCTGCCTTTGCTGAGACAGCAGTTTCTATGACTCTTAATGAGCTTATTTGTCTATGAAGGAGATGAACAGGGTACTGTGACGGAGCACAGCAGAGGGAAGGCGGCTTCTCCAAGGTAGTAATGCTTGAGCCAACACTTGATGTGAGAGAGGAGCAAGCCGTGTGGAGAGCCAGGGAAAACAGGGATTCCTGGCATGCAGAATGGCACCAAATGCAAAGGCTCATTTTAAAGGAAACTCATTATTGGGTATTAATGCTTTATACAGAAACCTCTACACAGATCCAAACTTACGGACCAGATCAGCTCTACAGTTCATAGTAGTTGAAGGTGGCCTTATTTTGTGATAGACTGCTTCATGCGTCATTCTTACTAACACTCCTTCCTCAAGCCCTTACTGTAAAAAGTTTGCACCAAGTCAATACCTGTTAATTTTACAACCATTTCTTTAACGCTGCCTTGGGCAAATTTTCAGCATTGTAGGGACTAGCTGCTTGCTTCCAGATGTCCTGCTGCCCACTAACTACTGCCTCTACAGCCCATCTTGTGGGCAGAGTAAATGTCTTAGGTGTTACCACCGTCAGACCTGTTGGAAATAACCAGTGGGGGCTCTGCCCTTTGGAAGTGTTTACTCGAGAACTTGCAGTGATGTTGGGGAACAGGTCTGGGGATAGAGAACAGCTTCAGAAGTGGTGGGAGGTCCTGGCAGTTACTCCTGCGTTGATAGGTTAAGTTGAAGCTGTGCCATCTCTAACATTGCAGAGGCAGAGCACATCACTGCGGCTACGGTGGGATTCTTCTGTGCTGTATGAAACTGGCACTGAACTCTGTGGAAACACCTATTGTATTGAGCAGTTAGACCTGTCGAGCAGTTGACTTCGTGGTGGTTACATTTGCATGAATATGTTTCATGATCTTACTTGCTTTTTAATGAGGTGCTGTTTTTGCATCCTGTTCTGTCCACTGTGGCCTAATTTTGGCTGATTGTTATTTTCCTTTATAGAGTTTGTTTTCATTCTTTTCCGTGATAGGATCTCTGGCCTAGAATTTTGCCTTTATTTAAATTAGCAGCATCATTTAGAAAATCTTCTACACAGTGGGGGTAATTTCCTCAGTTTAACAACATGAGAACTGAGTGATGGTGTTTTCTAGCCCATTTCTAAGATGAATGGTGGTTTTCACAGTGGATTACGTACACCTAAGGGCTGGTTTAGGGAATTGTAGTCCGGTGACATTCCCACTGTCTGGTCTAACCAGTGGGAGCTTCATATTTATTCTGTATTGGAGTTCCACATAGATTACTTTTTTTAAAAAGTTTTATTGCTTAAAAAAAAGTTTGACTTTCCTGGCTAGGTTTGAACTACTCTAGTTAGAATGCTAATTATACTTCATGATACATATTCATTCAGTAAGCGTTTATTGATGCCTGTGCTTTCCCCAGCCAGTGTGATAGATGTTGAGTAATAGAAATGTGACTGGGATTTGGTACTGACCCGCAAGCTGTCTTTTGGGGGTTAACTTTCTCTCTCAGGACCTACCACTTTGCCAGAAGGAAATCTGCCCAATTTTTCTTGAAAGCTAAATATTCTTATTTTGTACTTTTACTCTTATTCTGTATTCTGAGTATGTATTTGCAAATTGTTAATATCTACTTTTTTTGAACCTTAAATCATACCTAGTTTCGCTTGATTCACCTACCTTTTAAACATTGCCAGATTTTCTCCTTTGTTCACTTTATTTGTGCCTTTATTGTCAGTTTCATCAAGACTAAGATTTTGAAGGTGAAAAACAATCAGTCTAGTTTCTTGCTAGTTAGTTGAAATCAAATAAAAGAGTATATATACCCAGTTGGTTTCTCTACCTCTTCCAAAAGCTGTCCAAATAGACCTTTAACATCTTTCTCTTTTTTTAAATAACTGAATACTTTGAGCATTTATTCAATAATCAGCACCCTCCTGGTGTGGTTGATGGTGGGATATAATGTAACGTTAGACAATCCTCACTGTGCTTAAAACCTGTCTTTATGTATGGTCTTTGCTTTCATAGCTTAACATTCGTTTCAGTTTGCCACCCCTCCACCGTTCCCTGTGTCTCTTTAGATAACTGAGTAGTCTGTGGACATAAGCAGCCGTGATCTTTTCTCTTACTCTGATGCAACACATTGGTGTTTAGACATAACAAATCATTGCTCATTTTCTTTCCTTCATGAGCTTTACTTGCTAAATCCACTATGCTCGTCAGCTGAATTTTATTCTTCCTCCCCTTGACAGCATGTATCCCTAGTGGTTTTGCTGGTTGCCCTCTTCCTTGCCAGCCACGTTTTATCGGCATACATCAGTGTTTCTCTCCTTTGAACTTTTACTAAAGACCAAAAAGGACGGTGCTGTTCGTGCCCAGGGTCCTACTTTCCTCATCATGAAGGTCGATGTTATTTAGATTGGTCAATCACTTAAATCTTACAGATGACTCAGATTCTCTTCCGTTAAATGTCTTTGTGATGATCAAATAGTACATAAACCATCAGGTTCTGTTTTAAATTATATTTAGGGTTATGAACTTTTCTGGCAATTGCAGCCAGTGATTTCCCCATAATATTCGCCCCGTTTCCACATTGGAGCCTATTGGATTGTTGTATTTAGTACAATCAAGAGTAGTAATGATAATGTGTGATGTCTAGAGGTTGTCAGAATACTATTGAGTTCCTTTTCTGTCTTCCTTTTCAAGTTTTCATAAATGTTTTGTCTGTTCAGACTACCTTTTGTGTATGCAACTGAGGGACAGATTATCTCTTGGAGTGGAATTCCTGTGTTTGGAGCCTCAACCAGGAAAGGTGAGCTACACTCGGCATTGATAGCCTCGTGATAGCTTTCATGATAAGAACTTGTTAACGTGTTCACAGAATTTGAGTAGGACCTGTTTTACCTTGCATATTATAGCTAACTTTATATATAGCATAATTGCCTTAAATCTTTTTAGTAGGAAATATATAATGTGTATGTATGGATTTATATATACATATACACTCATAGAAAAATCTTAACACTAGGGGGTTATTTATCTGCACACATTTTAATAGTGTTCAATGATTCTGTTGTTTATATCTCAAGATCTCAGTAAAAGATTAATTTGCTTATGGACATTTTCCTTTCTTGGGCAGCCCTTCAGAGTAAATTTTGTATTCTACCGGAGTCCTAATTTGGTGGTTCAGTTAGTATGCCATTTTTAAGCAGCTTGACAATTAAGAGTCATAACTGGAATTCACTAACATCAAAAAAAAAAAAAAAAAAGCTCTGGAAGGTGTACTGACTTAAGGTTAACTTAAAAAAAATAATAATGTTAGAGTGTGTGACCCCCACCCTTGCTGTTTCCTCCTGGCGTAAGATTGCTGCTTAAGATACCCTGGGAAGTACCACTACCAAGGCAGTTTGCCCTGTATTTAAGGATAGCCTGAAGACGGTTCAGACATGTCTTTCTCAGCTGTGCTCAGCAGAAATGGATTTTCCAAAGTTCTTTGGGCCACTTCTGATTCACAGAGGATCTGACCAGAGTGTATTAGCCTGTTGCCTTCAGTGTCAGCTGGTTTGCTGCCATGAGATCCATAATAGACCCAGAATTTCCCTGTTGGTTGAGATGTGTAAGGGCCCTTTGTAATAATGCTGGGAGTGAGGATTCATTAACTCCACATAAAGCAATTTTAGATTTTTCTGCAACTAAATTTCCCCCAGAATGATGTTTTCCCACCCTCTCTAAAAAAATAAAGCAAAGCAAAAACCCCACAAACTCTTAGCTTTTCCAGAATTTCCAGTTTGCTCTCTCGGATGGAGGGTAAGGAATTTACTTCTCCTTTCTAATTAAGGATGATAATTTATTGAATCATGAAATCCATAATATATTGATTTAAAGATAAAAGTGAAGTTTTAGAATTCCAAAATTCCTTAACTATTATGTACTTTTCATCTCGCAGTCTACTGTTCTTACTCCCTGTGGCTTTAAAGTTTTTGGCTATTTTACAGTGTTACTCACTATAGATAACTTGCTCTATTTCTTGTTCTGTATGAAGTCCTACCCTTTACAGTGCTGTAGCGTAAAGTTGGTTCCCAGCATTTGTCTATAGGAATAGAAGTCTTACTGAAGTCTCTTTCCTTCCAAAGAGGTTTTTTCCTTTATCAATAAGTTCCTAAGAAAATATCTGTTACCTGTTTCTCACTCTCTATTCACATTCTTGAATTGTTCAAATAGGTGGGAAATGGTGAAAAAGATTAGGGTCTTTTTCTGATGAATGTAATGTACCTGCTTTAAGAATGTAGTCATTTGTTGGTTTTATGTAACTGATATACACACAGGTTAATTTACATCCTGAGAAATAATTGTCAAACACATAGCAAGTAGGTAACATGCATGGATTTTACCTTTTTTTTTAAAGCCCTATATTTTGCCAAAATGTAGAACCCAAAATGGTTATTTCTTAGATCAACTTTGCCTCAGGCTTTGTTTTTGCTTTTTTGGCCCTGGCCTCTAAGGCATAGATATTTATGTCTTTTTATTACTGATAATGAAACTGTGACACTAACCATTTCTATATAAGAGGACAAAACAAGAAAAATGAAAGATTAAGATGAAAGCAGTTGTGCAGTTGTTGAGCTAGATCACAACACTGTAGGCAAAATAAAAATGTTCATATCAGAGGGTTTTTTTTTTTTTTTTTGCCATCTTTTCCCAAGGCCAGACCTTCTGGTAGAGCACAGTTAAAAGTAACATAATTCTGCGCCTTTGTAATCTGGGGGAAATATCTCTAGTTGGCAGTCTTCTTTTTAATATATGAAGCAAGAATGTGGGAAATAGTTGGCAGTGTTTTCAGCTAAAAAATAAAAAAAGATAAGATATAAAACTGGATTACTCATTTAGCTCTGAAAATCTCAAAAAGATACTGTATGGACAAAACCAGAAGAGTCTACAGAAGATTTGTCTAAAAACAGGTTTCAAGGATGAACTTTTATATACTGCTCACTAATTTGCTTAAGGGCTGCCAACTATTCTTAAAATCGACACTGTTAAATAAGGTATTTATGGACTTCTAAGAACTAGGTATTAGCCAGTGTCCTAGAAATATTTCTGAGCTGATTCCCTCATAAGTAGCCCTGTGCCCTTGAAAATTCTTACCGTTTCTCTAGCGAAGCTAAGGTAGGAGTGAGTAGTGTTCTTAGGGTGACAGACTGCCCTGTTGGCCCGGGACTGAGTCCCCTGCGTGCAGGACTCTCAGTGCTGATCCCAGCAAGGCCCCGGGTGTTCTAATTTACCCTCACCTTAATGGTTGTGACAGTTGCAGTTAAATTCAGCTGCCCGGTGGCTGTCACCATTTCTGATACTTGGATATGTGTCCTCCAATCACTGATTACTGCGGATGGAATGTGAGATTTTATAGCAAATAATAGCTTATGGCACCAGTGTTGTAGTGAGACTAACACTTAGTGATCTAGGAAAGGTAACTGGGAGCCTAATGAAACAGAAAAGGCCACTAGATAGCAAAATTCTTCAGAACCTGTGTGTATCCGTAAGCACAGATCATGTCTTAATGGGGTTAAATTTAACCTGAAATTTAAATTTTCATGGTAAAACTGAATAGCGTTGTGGATTTCTTCTCTCTTGAGGGAAAAATCTGGCTTTTGATGCTCTATTCTCTACTACATTCCCCAGACTATCCTGCCCAAGAAGCCAGAATGTGGTATTACTATGTTTCTTCTCAGTGAATGTCATGTTGAGATTACTAAATGCATCAGCCAATGGCGGGTGAAGGAACTGAGTGTGCTGACCCAAACCGAGCAGTGCCCTCAGTTCTGACAGCCTCCTACCCCTCAGGTGCTCTAACCAGCTACAACAGCGGCCACGGGAGGTGAGACTTCTCTCAGACGGCATTAATTCTGTAATGCAATATGATGGATGCAGAGTCTGTTACTGTTCCCCTGTGGTAGTCCTCAGAGACCGCATCCTCTGTGCACTGTGATGTAGATGGTAGATGTGTTCTTTGTAAGCTTTAATTCTATGATTGTCGAAATATGTGGTTCCATTTAAAAAAAATTAAACAATGAGCTGAGGCTTTATTTCAGCTGGTTTTCAAGTTAAGATTGTGAAATACTGATTTCCTTCCCTCCACCCACACCAAATATTTTAGTCTATTTAAAGTACAAAAAAAAAAAAGAAATAGTTCTACTTCAGAAAACATTGCTTAAATGTCCTGTGATTTCTGGTCAATTTTTATATATATTTGTGTGTGTCTGTATGTGCTCTCACTTTTTACCTTGTTTGCTCTACCTGTGTTAACAGTACTTTCACCATTGAAAAGGTGAACATTTTTCCTAGCATTAAAAAAAAAGCCATTTGAGTTGTTTACCATGTTATTATGAGACTAATTATTAATTGTTTGCATTGATTTTGATTTAAACTGATCTTTTAGAGGGGATTATATTTTGCTGACCACACCCTAAATTATACAGAAACGAAAAAATTTATTGTGTGTATTTCACATAATGGAATTACAATATTAAGAGTGTATCCTTTTACTTTTTAAGCTTGGTGTTACATAAAAAGTTTATCCCACTCCCCTGGCACACAGATACGCACTGCTTATTATACACACCCAACACCTCACAGTGCTAGTAAGTTAGGCGTTTTAGTTTATTTCAGAGCTTGCCTGTGCCAAAATAATGATCTAATACATACAATCTATGCTATAAACAACAGACTAGAAGGTGGAAATCACATTTACTCTCAAGATATACTCTTAGCAAAAAAACAAAAGCTATTTTTTGAAAGACTCCACTAAACAACATTACATAAGATGTAATTTGTTTTCTCATTGTCCTGAAATAATTGAAAAACAAACTTTTTAGATCAACCAGACTTTGTGCCTTACAAGACCTCACTTCCTAGGATGAATCAGTACTTCTCTGGTTAGCAGACTGCTTCCTTCAAACCATTTAAAACACATGTGCTGTAGGATGCAACAAACAGGACCTCAAAAGCTAAAATACAGAAGCACACTCAGCACTGAACAGCCCAGGGACTGGCATGATCTCATTAACAATTTTGTATTGGTAGAAAACCTTCTTAAATCCTACGTAAATTGCTACACCACAACTATAAACGGTCAAAAAGGAGCCTTCCAACATTGAACTACATCACTTCAGTTGACAGATGACTAGAAGAGATCCTTCTCCATTGTCACTTCACCTTGGGCACATTCCTGCTGTTGGCAACCCTGGTTATCTGCACCAGCGGACTTTTATAACAACCCTGGTGTCCGTAATTGTACATATTCACCATGGGGCTGAAGAGTAGGAGAGAAGTATTGTTTGTATGTTTGGGTTTTCTCCCCGCTTGCCAAGTCTTTTTTTTTTTCTTGCTTCAAAATAGATTGATATTAATAGGCATGCTTCTCACACTAGGGCTTTCAAAAAATGTCTCCAGTGCACTTGTTTCAGGCACCAGGTGTGTCCAGGAACTAGGGTGAAGACGGTTCATCTGCTGCTCAAGAATATGTTTGCACCATGCAGTTACCCAGCTTCCTTTTTAACAGACTCATCTTTTTCATTAAAATAATGTAAATGAGCCCAACCTAAAAATCAAGTTTGCAAATGTAGGAATCCAAAAAAAAAAAAGTCAAAGTTATACGTAAAAGCTATCTTCTGCTACCATGAATAGATATGGAAATACTTGTAGAATTGGTTTAACTGATGCTAGTTTGCACATAGACGTCACAATTGTGTTCTTAAAATCAACCACGTTAACTGCAGGCAAAAACACTGAATCAGGTTATGGGTAACAAGTTCTGTGATAAGCCAACAGACTGAAGCGTGATCTTTGGGAAGATACGCAGGATATGTTACTGTGCTCCAGTCCAAGCTACATGACCTTATTGTTTGTTACAGAGTAAATGGAGTTTATGGATTTGCCATCATTTTTACAATTATCAATTGTCGGCTTCCTCTGCACCTACCTTAACGCTGTGTGGCAATAAGTTTGCTTAAAAAGTTTAAGAAGTGGTTTAGGAAAGAGATGAGATCACAGAGGAAGGAGAAGTTGCTTCTGAACGATGTGGTGCAGGACAAGGAAGGACAAAATACCATTTAAGCACAGCATTCAAGGATGCATTGAATTTGGGTAGGTGGAGAGGACTTTTGAAGCCAGTCAAAATGAGATCTTGAAATAACTCTTGGCTTGTGGCTCTGAATGTGTGTGAAAGCTGGACAACATTGCTGAGCTGCTGTGTATGGTGAGTAGAAGACTGACAACCAGAAGCTACGTAGATGCGACTGTGAACCCCACATCTAACAACAGAACCTAGATTGCTGGGGGAAAAAGCCACAGATAGCTCTACACCTGGGGTTTCTGCATAGAGGTTGCACTACTGAGCTGGCAGGCGGGGGCCAAGGACCTGAGAATGCCAGCCGTGACGCCAGCTGAGGATGGGCTGCTTAACTGGGGTGGCAGCGGGAGTTTAAACGTGTATGTGTGCAGGTGTGTATGTATTAAGGGAAATTTAGCTTTTTGTTCACAGCTGGAGATTATTCGAGAACCCTTTGAAATTTTACGCAGAACTCTGTAGTGTAGTGTGTATGTCGGCTTCTATGGTGAGAAGCAGCAGTCATCAGAGAGGCTTAACCACTGCCAGCGGTCTCCATTGAGACCACCCGTCTTGAACTTAAGCCAGATTTAACTCCGATTTTAAATCTTAAGGTTTTCTTGAGAGATCTTCTCTCTAAACTATATTGACTTGCCATTGGCAGTATTTGATCACACTATTTTAAATATAAATGCCTTGTAAATAAGATTTTATTATAACTGACAGCCCACTTTTAAATGATTGTTTGCAGTTTTTAAATATGTTTGGGCTGCAGTGGGAAAAATGAAGATTTACATGAGGCTAGTTTAACATCTGGAATAAGAGTATTCTAGGTTGCCTTTTTATATTGAAAATATTTTTATATTGAAAAAAAACAGGTTAGTGTCTTTGTTTTACCCAAGAACCACAAGCTACTTCATTCCAACTTTTAAATCAAGATCTTGGCTAATAGCATGCGGTATCACCACATTTTAAAAATGTACTTAGTCAATCACAAACACATTTTCTAAGGAATTGAATTTTACAGAGATAATTGAATGCTTTCATCTGTAACAGAATTAGTGGCCTACAAACCACTGTGGTTTCTTGCTTTGCTCTGAAGTTGTTAAAGGGGGAATTTTCTGCTCCAAGTTACATGCGTAAAGGAAGTGTGATGCAAAGGAAAACTCAGTGTTTAAATTCTAAAGCAACAACCACTGACAAAATGTTATCTAAAATTTGAACTACTTTTTAATGAAACAATTGTTTTCTTGTCTTTTTTTTTTCAGTCCAGGATCCAGGTGCTTAAATTTAACATAAGTAGAAAGTCAAATATGTTAATAAAGTCAAGCTAGGTCTGGTAAAAAACTAAGTTTGAAGTAAAGTTTGTAGCCGCGTTTGTATAGCATCTCATATGGTGCAATTTTCATTCACCAAAATGTCACTTAATTCTCTCTGTTCTGCTTCCCCCTATTTCCAGCCTGCCCCTATAACCTCCTGCAATTAAAGTAACCCTTAGAAAACTGCCTTATTTTAGAATAATTGATTTGTTTCTATGTTGCATTTTTAAATTAAAAAAATGTTGGAGGTGGTAATTAGGTCTATCTTTAGAGGAGGCACTGGGGATTGAACGCAGGACCTCATACATGTTAAGCGTGCGCTCTACCACTTGAGCTACACCCTCCCACCTTGTTTCTGTTTTTTAAGAGACAAAATCACAGAAGCGAGAGATGTCTAAGAATCTGGCTTGTTATTCTTCAGAAGATCACCTTTGAAAATGGGTGCATATTTTGTGTGTCCACTCTATATTTTCACGTATATACTTTTATTATCAGTATTGCCACCAGGGAACGATTAATCTTCACATTTGCAATTGACATAATTAGTGATTGGCTGAAGAGGCGTATTGAACATAAAATCCTTTAAGATAAAACTGAGATATGGTGGAAGATCTATATAATTTAGTCTTTTCGGTTGTCTGGCTGCTTCTCAACTGGGAATAGCAATGTCTTAAAGGAAATTTAGGCAACGAGAATGCTAAGGGTGGAATGCTTGAGAACAGCCCTGTCAGATACTTCAGTTACCTTGGATAATGGAATAAAACTCAATTGCCTTCTTTAAACAAACTTTTTCTGTTTTTGATGACTTCGGACAGAATAACATTCTGCTGGTTTGAAGCCCTTACCGTTTCTGATGCGATGGGAAGTACAAGTGAACTCAGAATCAGAAGTCTTGGTTTTGGGCCCTGATTTCCGCCAATTTGCAGTGACTTTAGACAGATAATTTCATCGGTCTGCTTCAAGTTCCTCATTGCCTCAAATTCCACAAAATAAGGAAGTTACTTTCAGGGTGGCTGTGAGGAGCAGATGAGAGCAGTTCACACAGGGCGGAGATTCAGCGCTGGGTGCCTGAATCCGCAGTCGGTGCAGCGAAGGTCATTGCTACCAAACCTGCCTCGGAAAAGCTGCGAGAGATCTACACTCAGAAGCCAAATAAATGAAAACCCACCGTAGCAATTATCTGGTGCCACAAAAGTAATGCATAGCAACCATAAAAGCCCAGTGGCATGCAATTAGAAACGCTCATTTAGTTTACGAGTTAGAGCCGTGATCTAGATGGCGCAGCTCCGGGTAGCTCTAGTTTTGCCTGGCTCACTGGGGAGGTGGCCTTGACTGCAGCGCCCTGGGCCTTTTCTGTGTCCTGTCCTCCCTCAGCCACCCCCAGGCATGTTTTCACAAGCTCCTTTCAAGTCTGCACGGTTGCTTCCTGCCCCCCGGCTGCAAGCCCCGTGACTAAGCTCAGAGTGGAAGGATGCTCGCAGTGAAGTGGCAAAGGAGGAGATCCCAGGAGGGGTGACGAATCGGGGCCCTGACTGCAGTCCACCCAGCAGGCCCCCGCACTGTGTTGTCTGACAGTTGTGCCATTTGCCAGTGAAGAGTGGGAAATGCGGAGAAGCTGAGGGGACCCCGTGCTGGGGTCTGACTGGTTTGAGCGTTTTCAGTCCGTGGAGCAGTAAGCAGAAGTCTCTGGTAAATACGCCATGAAGGTGAGCTAGAACCAAAGCGATGTATTTTCTGTCCACTCTTTAGGTCCGTCATTGCGGTTGCCCCAGGCCATTGTCACCTGACCGGAATTAGCACCCTCTAAGCTCTGAGCCTGGCTTGTACCGAACTAGAACCAGAAGAGCCCACCTCACAAATGAGGTGAAAGGAAGCATCCAATTCAGAGAAACCTTTTCTCAGTGATGGACTTCACGTTCATCAGTGCCACTTCCAAAGCTTTTCTGGGGCTTCTTATATGCAAAG